CTTTCCTAATATGCAATTCTTTTACATTCGGTTTATATGAAAGAAATTTACTCATTGGTTCACATATCACAACATCGCTGAACATTGGAATGTCGGGCAAAACAAACAAATCTTTGTTGCCATTTATACTGAAACTAATCGACGTTAAAAATGCCACACGCTTTGAAGGGGCCTGCAGTTATAAGAGAGATGTTTTTAAAATGTATTTACTCGCCTATTCTTCTGTTTACTAAATTTATTGTACGAAAATCGAGCGGAGAAAATTATGTGACTAATTTAATGTCCGAAGGATACGCTTGCAGTAAAAGCATATCAAATAAAATGTATTTATGGATAAACTGCCGGTAATTATTACAATACTATTTTATTGAAAAGGAACTTATATTCCAATTTGGTTTAGTTTATTACGGCAAAGCACACTAGGGCTATCTACCTATTAGTTATGGCAAAGCACACAGCACACTAGGGCTATCTGACTAAGCCCTAGTATCTATAGCACACTAGGACGCTAATAACATTGGTCGAATTTGACTAGTTTTCAGAGTTAGTTTGTATCAATTTAAGAAAAGTACAACGATTATTATTACCCCAAAGGTTGAAGCCAAGAAGGGTTGTTAGTCTCAAAACGGCATTTTGTGGAGTTTCACCATAAACGACGATTCATTTTTTAAATTGTTGCCACCAAATATTATCGCCCTGAATCATATTTAAAGAAATTAAATAATGTAGAATCTGCATGAATGTATGTATGTTTCTCAAACTGAAATACGACGGTACAACCATCAAATTTTGAATAACGTAATCCTCGATCCGAACATGGTCATCTGGACGTCCGAATTTTTAATTGGAATTTGTTTTATAATCTGTTTGATACTTTGTAATTTTCGATTAACAAACTCAACATTTCAAAGCGAGAAATGGCAACACTATACAGAAAAAAAAAAAAAACATTTTTTCTCCAATGCGCGAAACTGCCTATCGGAAATTTTAAAGACATGTTGTTTTTAAATATCTTGTGATATTGATGTTGAATTGAATTTCATGTGGTTTAAATGAAAAGAACATGATATTTAATAAATGAAGGTAACGCACAAAGCGTTAAAAAACGCTCCTTTGGGCGTACTATAAAATCTGAAAGCTTACACATTTTTATACACTCTTCAAGTATATTAGTATTTTGATTACGCTGGATTTTCCTGAAGTGGGAGTATAGTTCTTCGGCCACAAAAATTTCATGAAATTATTAGTGTAAACAACAGGCAGCGAAATACCGTGTATTTCCACAGTATCTATCCTACAAACAAATCTTCCGACAAATCTTACTTTCTTTTTATCAGAGTTTTCCTCTTTTTCTAAGGCACTGTTCTAATTAGACTGAGAAATTATAGTCAGATGCAAGATGCAATCCTCACTATCAGCCTTATTTAAAGACATAAAAGCGAAACCAAAATTAAGAATTTTACCAGCATTTATATCTATATTTAGGAACACACACAAGTATTAAAAGTTATGCCTTTCAAGCTGATTGTTTTAAATGCAATTTGAAACTTGTGTCTTAATGTACAGTTTTACTACAAGGAAGAGTAAATTTCATTATAGGGGCCCGCCAGCGGCCGAGTGGTAAAGTCGCTGAACACTGGTAGTTCGGTCCGAGGTTCGAATCCTGCGAACGAGCTGGCTGAATGGGCGTTTTTGTGCTTTTCCCCATGTGTAACGTGTATACGAGCCAGTTTCCCTTAGAAAGCCCTCCACGAAGGCATATCTTCCCTTATGCACATAGCCCTCATGTACCTTGCTATAATTAAATACACCAACACCGACACCATTATAGGGCATGTTTAGCCTTGATATTTAAATGCTAGTAATATCGAGTTACATTTAAGAGAGAATACAAGTGTTATACAAAATTGTTTTTTTACGGACGGAATGCAAGTATGTTACATAAAATTATTTTTGTTATGGATTGATTCCGTGCTTACCGAGCATTCAATCAAAAATGCAGTGCGCTATTATAATACAATGCTCAGTTTCAATGATTTACAAATGTCCTACAGAGGATAAGTATTAGGCGAATGGGATGTAATGCTCCCCCAAACAAAAAGGGAGAATGATATACAACGAATTATTAGCTCTGCTGAAACTACTTCCGAAAGAAAAATCTAAATTATTAAAAAAAAAGAGAGAGAGAGAGAACTAAGAGTTTAGAAATCAAAGCAAATTAAGATATCTTCACAAAATATCATTGGATATTTGCTTCAGAAATTGAGATTTCTTAAAAAGAAATTTGATAAAATAGACTTTCAAAGAATGGAAAAAAATCTAAATATATAGAGTTTTTAATGTGGTATCTAGAAGAAAATATGTCACTGAAAAACACTTCAGCGATTTTCTTAAGAATAGCATTGCAATAAAATGAAAGCATAAACAATAATTTTACAATGGAATGAATAGCATTGCGTTTGCTATAGGCAGTGATCAAATACTGTGGGCTTACTGTGGTGAAATGCTGTGTCAGGCGCAAATTTGCCTCCTTGCTACGATGAATTTTGTAGCCTTGATCTGATATTAGAGAAGAGAATACAACACAACAATAACAACTGCACATTTTACAGAGATGCGAACTGCTATAAAGGTTCGGCTTCAAATAAGGGAGATAAAAATTGCGTACTTGTATCCCTACTCCATCACCTCCTCTTATACGTTCCTTCTGCTCAGCGAAAGAAAAAGAAAATAGGTTTCTACCTTGGAACGGACTATCTGCACTAGATTTACATTAAAATAAAATGCAAAGTAAACAATGAATAATATTAAATACATAAAAATATCATAATTCAAAATAGCTGAAAAACCAATGTACCACACAATCCATACAAATATAAACTAAAAAACTATGTGTACATAGTATAATTACACCACCATTGTATCAGAAATTAGTATTAGAAGAATGTATTTAAAGGGGTAACAATTTACATATTCAGTGAGCCGTCATTGCTTTATTAACTCTTAATTTCAATACATAATTTCATTAGCGAGAGTTTAGGAAGCTTAGAAATATTTTCTCCTCCCCGCAGGGGATATCATTGTCGAATTTACCCACACATGACAATAACAGTGAGTCATTGTGCAGACCAGTACGACACAAACTGCTCCAATTTAGCATTGTAACGAGTCCTCCGTCCACGCAGAGATCTTCGTGTGTTACGTTTGCTTTAAATAGCTTTCAAAATTATAAAGGGCCCACCAGCGGCCGAGCGGTAAAGTCGCTGAACACTGGTACTTCAGTCCGAGGTTCGAATCCCGCGAACGGGCTGGCTGCATGGGCGTTTTTCGTGCTTTTCCCCACGTGTAACGTGTATACGAGTCAGTTTCCCTTAGAAAGTCCTCCACGAAGGCATCCCTCCTCTTAGGCAGATAGTCCTAGTGTGCTTTGCCATATTTAAATACACCAAATACACACACCAAAATTATAAAGTTTATTGCCCATATAATGCATTTATTGGGAATTTACCTTCCTGTTTCATTATTCGATGCCTAAAATTTAAAAAGAAAGGGCGTCTTGAAAATATCATTCTTAACAAATAGCATAATATAATTCTTAACACATATTGAAGATACACTTAAAACTCTTGCAGTAAAGGAACATTTTTTGTAAATATGAAACAAGTACAAATTTTTAATTTTCAGTCTTTGTAATATTCTTGTATGCAATCTGTGGTTATTCATTAAGTGCTTAGGATTACAAATAAAAGTAAATTTATTAAATAATATTTTCCTACGAATCAATTTTATGCTAATTATTATAAATTTTCGGTCTTATTCTAAACTACTATTTGTAAAGATTGCTTTGTTTAATTTTTGGTAATTTTGCTTTGCTCATTTAACCGTGCTTTCAAATTATTTGCAAAATGTTATCTCTCATGTTAACAAAATAATTTAACTTACCCACACAAAAAGGGAGAATGATATACAACAAATTATTAGCTCTGCTGAAACTACTTCCGAAAGAAAAATCTAAATTATTAAAAAAAGAAAGAGAGAGAACTAAGAGTTTAGAAATCAAAGCAAATTAAGATATCTTCACAAAATATCATTGGATATTTGCTTCAGAAATTGAGATTTCTTAAAAAGAAATTTGATAAAATAGACTTTCAAAGAATTGAAAAAAATCTAAATATATAGAGTTTTTAATGTGGTATCTAGAAGAAAATATGTCTTCTTCTAGATACCACATTAAAAACCTGCTAACTAACAATATAATTAAAAATCGAGAACTTAATTAGATTCGGCTTGCCTTTACGGCATCAATTGATACAGAGATCTAAGTTCAATAAAGAATCAAAGTAAAATCTTTATATTGTTTTCAGTACTTGAAACATACAAAGGAGAAAATTCAACAGCTGAGTTGGACTATTTTAATATGAAGTAATATTTCTTAATATTTCTAACTTTCGTTTTGCTTATATTACCCATGAAAAGGGAAAAACGATTTTTAAAAAAAGAATTTCTTGAACAACTATCAGAGGAATCAGTAAGAATATTCTTACTTAACAGGGGATATAAATTTTCCCAAAGAAGTACAATACGTTTCAAATTTGAAATTTCCAATAGCCTCCTAACTTTATGGTAAAAGGTTTATGTCTGTTTTGAGTGCTATTTCCTGGACAGAGAGAAAATACAAACAAAAATAGGTTATTAAAAATATGACAGAAAGGAAGCTGAATTATTAAACATGCTCTTAGACATGATATCTAACCTTCACATATGATTACTCATGCAAAAACCGATTCCTTTTCATGACTATACTCGCATTTTGGAGACACAATTCGTTATATCAAGTATTCCGTATTCTTCAGACCTTGGCAAAAGTAACCTCACCCAGATATAATTCTTTGGATTTGCTTTACGACAAACGGCCCGCATAATTTAAATTCTAGTTTCCACGGTCAAATATTTCTTGCAAAGAAATAGATGTATATAAAAGTGATATAGGTAGCATTGGCATCACTGAAAGGAGTTCAGCGTTCACCAACGGATCAAATGGCGACTAGTTTTGGATTTGCTCTCTCTGTGACAGTTCTGATTGCTTTAGCAACATCCAGCCCTATACCAGCGCAAGTTTCTCAACTACTTTCTGAACAAGATGTATTGGAATCACCAAGGCCTTATGAATTTGGATACGAATTTGGAGATGGAAATGGTATGACACAACATCGACGCGAATCAGCTGACGGAAACGGACTAGTGCAAGGTAGTTATGGGTACATTGACCAGAATGGCGTTTACAGGAATGTGGAATACAAAGCTGATTCTGAAGGATACAGGGCTATCGTGAGAAGTAATGAACCTGGACTTTCTAATCAAAATGCTGCGGATGCTACTTTTATTGTCGAATCCCCACCACCCGGAATCATTGCTCAAGCAAATTTAGCTGGAATTCCTGCTGAAAGTATAGTAACAGTGGTAAAAAAATAACACCACTTCTGTGTATTTCTTTATATTTACTTTAAGATAATTGCTCTGAATGTTGATGTATACATGCCAATAGTTCTTCCAAGTTCTCATTTAGCTAAAATGTAAGAATATAAGATAAAATAGAGTCTGTTTTTCCTGTTCTGTGTGTAGTTTTAGTTGTTCTTTGCATATGTGTTTTGGGAAGTAACTAAAGCAATGTAAAGGCTATAACACAATATAGTTAATGAATAATGTTTATTAAGTATGAAATCTTCAGTTATCTTTCCTTATTTTCCATCATAAAAGTTTCAAAAGAATAAATATAGAAAATTATTTTGGACTTTAATTTTTAGGTTTCGATATTTGTTTATGCATTTTTTTATTTATTTAATGAAACAGAAGAACTAATAGAAGAAAATTTATTAAGAAATTTGCTAAACAATTTTTTTTTCTTTTACCACTTAAGTATATTTATACATGGTAGAAGTAAAAATCACTATAATAGTACAAGTGAATTAATTTCATTCTTCATTTTGTTAGACGGTATTGACTGTGGCAATATTTAATTTATAAACTGAATTCGTCAATATAAAACATAATTTATGTCTTCGTGGTTACAACCTAATGTAAACTTACAGCAGGACTGATTATGTGCAGTTACTGAAAGGCAATCTAAAACTGAAAAGATAGTTCCGTAAGTTAGCTTTTTTGCTTGAATGAAAATATGTTATATACCTGATACGTTGCTCTTTTTGTCTAACTTTTTGTGAATTTCAGAACTATTCTTTAACAATTTAAACTTTGGAATAATAAGATAGTCAACTAATTTACATTAGACTGTTTAGGTCTGTTAAAACTCTAAAAATAATGGAATACAAAGCCATAGCTTCAATACAACACAATGACTTTTAGAGCCACCTTTATTCTTTATAATATATAATGCTTCCGATGAATTATGCTTATGAATTCATTGAAAAAATAGCTGACATCAACTATTTAAAACAGTTTTCAAGATGTTGGTTCGTCGATGATTGACAGAAAGTGCGACTTACAGAATACAGTGTAACAAAATTTACTTTAAAAATTTAATTACATATACATATTTCTAATTCAGAAATTCACAATTATATTGAAAATTAGTTCAAGAAATATGTGTCATAAAGATACACTTCCTATTTCGAGTCTAGAAAGATAATTTATAAAAATAAAATGATAGATGAAATCAAATTATAGAGCAAGTTTAAAATTCGAATTTCGAAAATATTCAGAAAAATATTAAAATATAAAAACTTAATTTAAACTCATAAGAAATTGTTTAGAGAAAATGAAATTTACCTCAAGTTTTATATAAATATTATATAAGAACTGAGATATAAGCAGGGTTTCTTAAACTTTTTTCAGTCGCCACCCTTTTTTATCACTAAGATTTTTTCGCAACCCCCAGAACCCCATAATATTTACGAAACTTTTGTGGAACTCCATAAGTATTGCGCAAATCCGACACACGCGTGAGTGAAACTGTCAATTTTTTCACTTGTCCTGTAATATACTATTGCAGTTTTAGGTCATTAACTTAAATTTTTAAGACATGCAATGTGAAATTTTAAATAATTACTTATTTACAGTCGAATCGTAACAGACGAAATGACAGCGTCGCGTGCAAAGCAAGGAAAATGAACCTTTATATTATAAAAATAATGCGTCGAAAGGTTTTCGTTTTTTACTTTCTCTGTATTGTCTTAACTTTATCTATTTTCAGATGCATTGTGTAAAAATATTTGGTAATTGTAAAATTATTATAACAAGTTAAAGAAATATCAAAACTGCTAAAATTTTTGGCGAACTCCTGCTGCAGATCCCGCGACGCCCTGGGAGTCCCGACCCACAGTTTAAGAAATCCTGAATTAAAGTATACAATTGCAAGCCGACTAAGATGCAGTGAAGCGGAGTAATATATATTCATAACACATTAATATATTTGAGCTTCCAAAAATTATATCAGCTTAAATGTACTATGTTAACCTTAGACGTATATTTGCACAATTTTTACTCTCTTCAGATTACTTACATTAATATAATACCAAAGTAAACAGATTTATTGTTGTTTTATTTTATGTGTGAGCCTAAATAAATTTCATATTCACAAGAATAAACTATAAATGTTCAAAATATAAATTTTTTGTGGTAAGATGTGCCATAAACGTGAACAAAATTTCGAAAATACTAATAAGTGTGTTCTAAACTGTAATAAAATTTATGAAATTACTCTACATATGCTTTCAAATAAAAATATTGTAATCATAATAGCTCATGGAGGTAGGAAAGGAAGAAAGGGTCAAGTGGCTCTAGAAGTGAAGCACTGCTTTGAAGCTTGGGTCACCAGATGGGGTGTTCTTGTTTACATTCAGAAGCTCGCTTGACAGAGTTCTGATAGTATTTCGACACACGAAGTTCCATACAAACCGAAAAAGGGACACTTTCGCATGAAAGAAACATTCATAATGTGATGGATAATAGAAATTTGTATAGTTTAGTGACATTTACGCAAAAATCACATCTGGGTTATTTTTCGATAACTAACAACAGCGATTTTGATTATGAATTTGTTTTATAAAATTCTAAGCTGTTGAACTACAAAAATATAGATTTTAAGAAAAATGTTATGCTTAAAGAATTAAAAATACCTTACGGTACATTTAAAATTGTATACGTCTTTCGATACCCTTGATACAGTATTCGCTACTTTTATTTTATTTTCCAAACGCCAAAATATTTTAAATAGAACAAATTTTTTTCACATCCATATATTATTGTAACATGTAAATTTTTTAGAAAAGAGGCTTTACTGCTGCTCATTTTAAACTCATCGTTTTAATTTTATATAGTCGTATCTGAAAATTAATCACTTTGGGCTTACATGTTTTACTTATTTGGGTTAATTAAAAATAAAATTACCATCAAATGCTGCAATCCTCGTCAAAATTAATAAATATACACACAGATATGCCAATAAGTTGCTTTCCCTTGATTTGGAACAACACATTGTGTAAATTATGTACAGTTTACACAAATGTGTAAAACAGAAGAGGGATACATTTGCGAGTTTTGGCGGAAGTACCTGTGAGGTCAAGATGATGTGACCATGTGAACGTGCTACATCATTAAGACAGCTATTAAGAATTTGAAAATAGGGTAATTGACGGAAGTGAAAACATTTGTATATCCTGCCAAATAGGTCCGATCATGAATGGTCCTCTATTGATTCCAGATTGTTAAATGTTTCCCACGCAAGTCTTTTTTTTCTCGGTTTTTTAAATGAACATTTGCTTGAAACTGATCCAGTGCATACCACATTTTACATTTAATAAGAGCAATCATTAAACAATATTTGGCAAGTAAGATAACGCTTATTTTTGCAAAAATGTTGCAAATAACTCAGATCTATGCAGTTGTATACAAAAACTTATCTATTTCCATGGTCAGTGATTAATAGAGTTAGTTTTAAGGGGAAAAATAAAGTTTCCCTCTCTTTAAAATTTTATTTAGCAACATGTTTTGCTGATTACTAAATGTAATAAAAAATTATGAATGAAAATCTTTGTTATTCAATACATAACTTGAGTAGTGGTCCTCTATTTTTGAAAGTTTCAAGACATGAAAAATGTTATAAATTGGATATCAACATACTTGTATATGTCTCTGGGATTACATCACAGTAGGAAATTTCAGGGTAAGTGAATTTAGATCAATTAGTTGTTTTAAACTGTTTAAAAATATGAAGCTATGCAGAGTAAGGCAATCAAGATTGCGATCTGATGACAATACGGTAATTATGTGATGGGATAGTAATTTGTTATATTATCAAAGAATTATTAAACTGTGTAAAATTGCTAAAAGAGATAGAGGCTCTGCCAAAATTGTATTTTCCAGAAGATTTAAAAAGTTTGAAACTTGATGGCTAAATGTTAATATAAATTATGTATGTTAAATATTTGTAATTAGGCTCATAGGTCAGAATAAGTTTTCTATTAAATAGAGTAACGCATGCAAGGGCTATCTGCCTAAAGAGAGAGATGCCATTGTGGAGGAATTTTGAAGAAAAAAACTGACCTTTGAGTGGGTATTAAAATAATACATTATAATTTTCATTCAAATTATATTCATATATATTTTTTACGTAAAACTTTCGGGTGTATGCTAAATTAGTGTAAATTACGTTACACGAAAAATATAGTGAATGCACAGAAATTAAAGATTTGCACATGCCGGAAATGAAAAATAGGAAATATGTATGGGTATTTATGCATGTGCTTTGCAAAAAGCATGTATCTGCCTTGACAAAATACTTAAATATTCATTAAATTATTTATAAATGTACTTGAAATGAAGAATTTATTCACTTATAAACAACTGTGAAAGTACCGTGAAGAAATCTAATTATTAAATGTATCTAATTTATAATGATTATAAATGTTATCTAAATATATAATAACTTTACTATTGAATTGTAAACATAAATTGAAATCCTGTTGACAAATACGTTATAAAACTATTTAAGCAAGAATTGTTCGTACTGGAAAGCAATCTGTTAAAAGGTATTGTAAAGCAAATGCTATGAGATGCGCACTTAAGAACGTAATAAAGAGTTTTGGAATATGTATTGTTGAAATGAAGGGTAAAAAAAAAAAAAAAATCTGATAAGTATAATTAAAAGAATTATTCCCCTTACATTTAATAACTCAGTTACAAGTTTTAAATAATACTTTAAAAAAAAAAAAAAAACTTATTTTATTTCTTTTCAGAAATGTTCAGAGAAAGTCAAGTACTATTTAAAGTATTTCGCTAATTCGTAATAATTTTCTAATTTAAAATGAACCGAATAGGGCATTAATTATAAATTGACTTACATTTTTCGATTTAAAAGATGCCTCAGAAGCCAAAAAAATCATGTCATATTTAAGAAAGTATTTTAGGAAGAAGCTCTATAAATAGAAAAGAAATAATGCATAATTTTAATATTAATAATACAATAAACTTTGATCTTAATTTTTGTACCTTAACCGAATAAAATCGAATTACCTTATTTTTTTTTCCTAATATAATTAACGAAAACTTGTGAAAATATTTCATTCAAATTAAACCATTCTGAGAAAACTGTCCTG